CTCAGTCAATCTTGCCTGAAGTACGGATTCCTCTTCAGTGGCCTTTTCCAGTGATGTCTTGTATTCAGTTAGTTCACTCTGATAGGCAGTGAAGATGTCGCTACCACTTGACGGGGCGTTCACTTGCTGATAAGATCCTGTCCCTGATGGAGTAGCGTCCTGAATCGGTGAAGGCGGATTCGACGACGTAGTCTTTGCCTTAGTCCTTGGAGTCATCGGAGGCGACAATTGTCGTGCAGATGATCTTCTCTTTCCAGGTGTGCTGTCCCTATCTTCAATGGCTTGCATTGTCGAAATTTGTCTCCCTCTAGGAGCAACCAGAGGTCGCCTGGGTAGGCTTGTTCTCAATTCTGAGGCATCGCTTCCACCAGTGTCGATACTCTGTGAAGAATTTGACTGCGTGCCGGCAGCTGGTGCAACGGCATGTCCAGAAAAAGAAAATGCGTTATCGCTGCTATCCTGTTCAGTCATCTGTAAGGCCCGCGGCTACCCGCTCGTAGGCTCCGTAGGAGTCCTACGGCTGATAACCTGCGAATCGGTGATTGCCTGTCCGATTATGTCCTGGTACTTGATGTTGAAGTAAATGCTTCGGTGATGACTTCACTCGGGTGGCGGCTTCCGCATGGCAGTTCTTTGTTCTGGTGCTGCAGTGGGTCTTGAGCCAAAAGGGCGATTGTCATACCCTTTGGCTGTGGATCTCAGAGTGTTGAATTATGTGATATTATACAGTGGTCCGTAGCCTACACTCTATTCGCATATACTATATTTATATCCTATATATATATATATACATTTATCATATATATGTATATATACATGTGTATTTATCATGTATATATATATATATTAAGGATTTCATATTTATTATCGTTGCTGTAATATAGTATATATGATATTACATCTTGTAAGTATATTATATAGTAGCCATTATATATATATATATATATCTGTATTTAACAAATCATGTAGGTATATACATGTATAAATATGACTCGATGATAGCCTCATCATTAATTACCAAACCGTCATACCCCATCAACTATCACCATACCCCACAAATCCCCCATTGTTAACGAGTCAAATCCGTCATTGACATCCATAAACCTAAATGTTGATTATCAAATCACAACGTCCCCATTAGACATCCCCATTAAATCCGGATATCCCTATGTTTATTGGCTATATATGGCTATATCCCTATGGCTAACCCACCAAAACATAAATATAACACAATGTAACCTATCCAGAATAGACATTAAACATATCATGTGTTGCTGCTCATCTATCCCATCATATCCCTATAAGCAACAATTAAATAACCGTTACGTTGATGGTTAAATTAGGATAAATTAGGGATGATACATATCCACTGTTGGGACCAACGCCTGTCTTGCGGCGCCGCGGGCTCATCGCCTGGTATTCAAGTGGGGAATCTAGTCATAATATGTCAGCACTTAGAAATGTTCATCTTCAATCGTAGGGTATTCATATTCAAATGGATGCAAACGGATGTAATGGCGGGTATGTAATATAAAAGTGCTCCCCGGAATTTGCGGACCTCACAAAATACGGGAACTAAAGCAGTTTGCGCTAAGTCGGTAATCAAATTCATCGCATGATGTAATTGTCAAGAAGGGAACGGAAAACATGGAATGTATGGCATATGGGAGGAGGAAACCAATTCAATTGAGAGATGTCATATATGTCATGAACGCTGAGCCAAGTCCAGCATTGATTGAGTCAGATTGATGTCTTCACCTGATTAATCGATTAATCAATCCTCTCACCACCCTGGATCGATTGGGATCATCATACCAAGTAGGATAGGATGAACAAATAAACAATAAACTCAGTAGAATATTCCAGAAAAGGTGATGACATTCAGAGCTAAATCAAGATTCACCACCAGTCTTCAGGTCATTTAGCTAGAGCCATGGGGTTCATGATACCAGCACCGTGCTAACCGCTGTGCCATTTTTTTGTGGTTTCCGTGGTTCCACCATGTTCCACCGACTCCCCAGAGTTGGCACCTCTAAGAGGGTCTTGATCCCGTCCTTCGTCACCTGGGTCACCTGGAGGTCCAGGAAAATCGAGAATTTCGCTTCGACATGTTGGACAACATGGCTCAGAATTCCCAGAATTGGTGACAAAGAGGGTGACGCACTGCTTCACATGTCATGTCTTATCATGCCTTCTCAACCCTTCATAGATGTTAAGAAAAAATAGGGGAAATAACCTGCATCAGTCGGGATCAACATTCCAGGTAGGACGAACGAAAATGAAAAAAAACAACGCGGGAAACTATTTTGAAGTCGGATCTGAACCTGTCCAGTCCGGTTTTCATACTTACTACGGGCACGACTGAAACCTCACTATGTTGTCCGTGCCACCTTTGGAATCAAACATCAAAAAATTGTGACATCACAATTTTAATCATGGAAAACCCATGTTAAAATCACGCAAAACTCATCCGAAATCAAGCCGTTCTCAAATGCAAAGCATGGACCCCCCACTAGAAGATGTTCTGGCCTCTGGGAGACTTACCTCCTTGTCCTTGCGGAGCTTCTCCTCCTCTTGGAGGTGGAGCTTCTCCTCCTTGCTGCAGACAACAAAAATCGAAAGCCGTGAGCCAACCCCCACTACTACAAAAATGGGGTTCTTGAGGTAAAAAAAAAAAACTACCAAAAGGAAGCACCCACCCCTTCTAAACCCTCTACTAAAAAACAATGTGATTTTAGATGTCTATATAGATGTCTAAATGGCCCATTTTGTTGATGATTCTTAGAAAGGGATTCCTTTTTGTAGTGAGCCCATTCTCCATTGATTTTGGGTCTAAACATGAAAAAACAGTGAACCACCAGTGACTTTTGGGGATTCCTGGGACGCTTCAGATCTGAGAGCGCATTTTGTTCGTCACGTAAGTCACAAGTTTTTTTTCAGATCCGAGGTGCTAGTTCTTCTTTTAAATTTCAAACATATTACTTCTAAAGTTGTCTTCAGGCTTGCTGGCCTTAAGTTTGGATTACAATGAGCGATCGAGTTCGACTGGGCAGGCCTTGTTGATCTTTTTGTTGGTGCATGTCACTGGCAAGCCTTTTTTCTAGAGAGCTAACCAGATTTTGGGGCCAAGCGTCGACATTCGGCAAACGTGTGCCGAACCTGTGCCAATAGAATCGGAACATCCGTTCATGTTTTTCTCTATTCGAGTTCTTATCGAAAGTGCATGGTTTCTTTGGGTATTTCTTGTTATTTTGAAACCCAGACTGTGAAATTCTCGGGATAAACCAGGATTTGGAAGGATGAAACGGTTTCATTGTCAAGCCAGCAAGCCTTTTTGATCTTTTTGTGTGTTGAAGGGGCTAGCCTTTTTGGTCTGAGAGCCAGCCCAAACGTTTGGGTAACCATCCAGGTTCTGCTGCGGATGTAGCATGCAGGATTGAGACAAACTGTGATAAAGACCTTGCTGGAAATCTTAAATGCATTTTCATACAAAACACATCGAAACACACAATTTTTAATCTGTGCGTTAAAGTACACATACAGTAGTGACTTGTTCCAATTCTACACCGCATTCTGTTGAAAATTAGTCTTGTAGAATCGGTTCATCGACCAGCTTCAGTTGGCAGAGCCATGAATTTATACACCCTTTTTGTGGTGGGGATTGAATTTTGGCTGACAAAACCCCTTGATTTTTTTTCGGAGAAGCAACATCTGCAACATTCACTAACCCAACGCTTGCCCACAAATTCCGAAAGATATGTTTTGGGTCTAGCACAATGAAGCTGTCAACTACAAAACGCGTTCGGTCCACGGTCCAATTTAGAGGTGCTACAAAGTGCAACTAGCTTGTTACGCTGGCAAAATGCAGTAGTCAAGTAGTCAAATAATTATGCAGGTTGTCATTCCGATCCTATAAAATGACCGTGGATACAAAATCAAGGGCACAACTCCACTCACACCAACAAAGTAGATTTAAGCCCTCTGTAGCGGCCCTATAAGTTCTACGAAAATGGACATTCCAACCGAGATGCTTTTCTGCATTCCTCTTTCGGTCACAGCACCGAAATCACAAATGTCAAATGTCCCTCAACAAACGAAATCAACAAGAAAAGGCTACTGTAGGCAAAATGAGGCTCCCAACCAAAATAGAACCATTTTGAACCTTTTTGTTTGACCAACAGTGACCAACAGGTCTCCTACAAAATGAGGGCTCTTGTGCTCACGGTTTTGCATGGAAAAAAAAAACTGTCCCCTACAAAAGTCCTCCAGGTTTTTATAAAGATCAAAAGTGCTACAAAAAAACAGCCCACTTACAAAAGCATGTGCCCAAAATGGTTTTGGGCATACAGTTTTCTTATTAAATACAGTTTGCATGGGCCCTCAACCACAGCCTTTTGGTAGGGGAAATTTTGACACCCATGATTATCTGATTTCGCGACAAAATCAACGCCTTTGAGAGGCAAAGCATGGACTCAAATGAAGATTTCTGGTCATGTTTCTTGATGCTTTGGGACCCGGGGAATCCACTCCCCTTCTGCAAGCATGTCTCCTCTTCCTCGCGGAGCCTCTTTTCCTCTTTGAGGCGGAGCTTCTCCTCCTTGCGACAGGCGACTTCAAGTCAAAAGATTGAAATTGACTGCGGATTTAGTATCATTTGGTGACACAATCAACGCCTTTGAGAGGCAAAGCATGACCCCAAAGGATTTTTTTTGGTGATGTTTCTTGATGCTTTGGGACCCTGGGAATCCACCCTCCTTCTGCAAGCATGTCTCCTCTTCCTTGCGGAGTCTCTCCTCCTCTTGGAGGCGGAGCTTCTCCTCCTTGGACAGGCGACTTCAAGTCGAAAGATTGAAATTGATTGCGGATTTAGTATCATTTGGTGACACGATCAACGCCTTTGAGAGGCAAAGCATGACCCCAAAGGATTTTTTTTGGTGATGTTTCTTGATGCTTTGGGACCCTGGGAATCCACCCTCCTTCTGCAAGCATGTCTCCTCTTCCTTGCGGAGTCTCTCCTCCTCTTGGAGGCGGAGCTTCTCCTCCTTGCGACAGGCGACTTCAAGTCGAAAGATTGAAATTGATTGCGGATTTAGTATCATTTGGTGACACAATCAACGCCTTTGAGAGGCAAAGCATGACCCCAAAGGATTTTTTTTGGTGATGTTTCTTGATGCGTTGGGACCCTGGGAATCCACCCTCCTTCTGCAAGCATGTCTCCTCTTCCTTGCGGAGTCTCTCCTCCTCTTGGAGGCGGAGCTTCTCCTCCTTGCAAAGGCCTCTTGGATGATCATCCCACTTCACCATCCCATCTATAAAATTCTATAACCGCCTAGCAACCATGGACTCACCAGTCACCAACTCACAGTTTTGGGCCATTGGCCGTAGACAGACCCATTCAGTTGGCATTATTCACTAGTTGATACTAGTTGTATCTAGACTCTAGTTGAGAGATGGGGTGGACACCTCAATCAGCATCATATATATCCGTATATTATAACCAGTGACCAGTGCATACCAGTGCATTGTACCGGGTAAAACAAGTTCCAAGCCAGGGTCCGATGGAATTGGTACTGAGGCTGGCACTGGGCTGGGGCCTGAGCGTGCCAACAGGGAACCCTGGATCACCTCACATGTGGGTTGGCCTGAAAACAGGGTACCCCATTCATGATCATCATCCCTCTGAAAAAATGCCTGTCATCCATGGTGGTGAAAATACCCAATTGAAATGTACGAAACCATGTCACCTCAGACCGCAAAAAATCACACTATCTGAGACGGTCACTTGTCTTCCACCACCTTAGATCAGCCGTGGTTGGCGGATTTGGCGGCAGTAGTGCAGCAAATCAAAATCTACCCACAAGAGAGGACAAGAAATATCCAGAAATGGGTTGTGTCAAAAAACATCCCAAATTGGAGATATCATTTTAGGTTGCGCTTTGTCGCACCACGGATGAAAATCGCATCTTCGAATTGGCTGGTTTTCATAAGGATTTTCAGCATGAAACAACAATAATTTCCATCAGGCTGAAACTTGAAATCGGAGAACTAACCCACCTTGGGTGGTTTTTGGCCGAGGGTTGATTAATGTTGACCTCTGATTAATCAACAGGGCCACCCCCCCTTTGACCTTGAATAGATTTCTAGCCACCGTCAAACTTGTCTGTATGTATTGATGTTCAACTATATACCACAATTTAAAATGAAATATAAAATGCAATTTCCAAAAAAAATAAGGAATCCAACAATTGGTTTAGTATTGATTTAGTATTCATTTCATGGATTTAGTATTGATTTAGTATTCATTTCATGGATTTAGTATTGATTTAGACTTCATTTCATGGATTTAGTATTGATTCAGTATTCATTTTATGCATTTGGTATTGATTTAGTATTCATTTCATGGATTTAGTATTGATTTAGTATTCATTTCATGGATTTGGTATTGATTTAGACTTCATTTCATGGATTTAGTATTGATTCAGTATTCATTTTATGCATTTGGTATTGATTTAGTATTCATGTCATGGATTTGGTATTGATTTAGTATTCATTTCATGGATTTAGTATTGATTTAGTATTCATTTCATGGACTTAATATCGATTTAGTATTCGTTTCATGGATTTAGTATTGATTTAGTATTCATTTCATGGATTTAATATTGATTTAGTATTCATTTCATGGATTTAGTATGGATTTAGTATTCATTTCTTGATCAGCGGGAGGGGAAGCTCAGTAGCTTTATTCAGGGTCAAACTCTAATTAGTGCTAAGGCACCTCATGGGGGGTACCCTTGCTGAGTTGATTTGGGATTGATTTCGGATAGGTTTTACATAAAGGATTTGAATAGAAAAAACATCCATCATTTTTGAAAATTTGAAGCTATCAAGGTAAGATCTAATGAGCTGGCAGTATGAATTAGTACATGAAAGCCACCTCAAATAAAGCATGGACAATTTTGTTCAGCCCCATCTGGGCAAATCTGGGTTTAGGGCCAAAAACAAAACTTTATTTAGGGGTTATTTATTACTTGGTTTGGCAGTTTGGTTAGCTTTATTCAGGGTGAGTTTAATGATCGGAAACGTAGGTGAACATTGTTCAGTGGATATCTTCGAATGGCTGATGGTCACCAAACCGCCCATGCTGCAACCACCGTGATGTCATCTGGTTTCCTAAGTTACCCGACAGCAAAGGCGGAGTGCGTAGTCAAAGGGCACTCTCGGTATGATCGCTATGGGGCATCAACCAACTGTTTAAAACAATCAATTGGGGAATCAACCAACTATGTAAAAATAAATGGGTATTTGAGTATTCACATACACATATACATATTCCATCATATTCCCTTACAATCGCTTCAGTTTGTTTCGGCAGCGGGCCGGCCGGTACTGGCCATGACTTCAACTTCAGCCTTTTTCTGGGCCTTGACTCTCGTACAGCCTACTCGTTTAGCCGGTAAAGATTGACAATCCACTATCATGAGATAGTTTATGTTGATTTATTCCCATCAAAATAGCAAAATATACAAACCATAATTGATATCAACCTTGGTTCATGTTGCCTTCGATCGGTCTTGCAGGTTAGGGCACGTCCCCTGGAGACTCCAACCACGGGATTCGTCCCTTAAGGTCCCCAGCCCGCCAGTGTGATGTGTCCCGTTGTGCTTGTTCCACTCCATCACGAATGGAACCTGTCCCAGCAATACATGGTTGGAAGATTGCAATAAGCCACGGCACACTAAACAAAAACTAAAGGAATACTGTAGGGCTTCATGAACCACCCAAAACACTGCGCTATAATGCCATATATATATATATATATACAGTATTTTCCACATGGCACAATGTAGCGTGATCTGCGGCCAAGCGTTGCATTCTGTGACACGTGACTACTTCGCGAAGTCTGGGCCGGTGAAATCCCCATAGTTCTGTACGATCATACTATGGGCCCGCTTGACAAAATCGCTTTTCGTCACAACAGACTCATCCACAGCATGTTGCTGTAGGGTCTTACAAAAACCATGCGCAAGTCCAGCGCATAGCGCCGGTGGGTACTCTTTGGGGTAGGTCGTGGCCCAGACGCCATCCCGCGTGAGACCAATCGCCGCTGCTCTGGGAACCTCCTTGGCGATTTGCCACGCACGCAGCTCCTGCACCATGCCCTTCATGTTCAAGAGCAAAAGGCCAGTCGGTTTCTTGCTTGGCGCTCCCCACAAACCCTGTGCCAGCTCCACGAAGTCAAACTCCGGCCAAGACAGGATGTAGCGCACCACGGGAAGATGCCAAATACTGGCCAAGGATTCATCTCCGGGAGGTGCTGGATGTTCTAAGGCCCCTAGTCCGCCCTCAATCGCAAGGTGCAAAAGGAGCTCCAAGGTGAACAGAAGCAACAGGTTGCCAATGTCCAGCTGATAGAGCTCCCGAAGCGCAAGGCTGCAGCGCCCCCACAAAGCTTCGCCCTCCCGAATGATCCGGGGTGTCCGTGAGGTCCGGGCCGGCGGCTCGCCATCCTTTGTCTCTGCAGGGTGACCCCGAGCTTTTGACCACGTCTCACACGGCGGGCCAGCCATGGCCCCGACCACAAATCGGTCGTGCACTGCTGCCAGCCAGAAGGACCTGACCTCTTCTCGGGAGACATCCCCCCACACATCGTCGATCATGATGTCAACTGAGATGGTATGGATGGTCGTTCCCTCGTTCTGCTGCCTGGCAATGTCCACAAAGTGTTGGAAGTCGCCACAACGACGTCGCCCTGAGAACGCGTGAATGATGTAGCGTTCGCGCACCATTGGCCGCGGCACTGGCCACAGTGGGGCTCGATCTCCACTGCCCTCCAGCTGTTGCAAGCACTGCCGCTCGATGGTCTCCAGGTCCACACAGCAACTCGTGGTCGTAAAACTCTGCTGCTCTGCCAACAGAAAAGGCCAGGCGTCAACACAGCGCAGCCGCTCCAGGAAGTGCTTGATGTCAATGTCCTGAAGCGCCAGAGCCGCGATGTCCGCCTTGGTCATCTCCGCAATCAGCGTAGCGCGACAGCACGACCATGAAATCGGGTGCTTCTCCACCGTCTCCATGATGAGCATCTTGACGTCTTCGTGGGCCCTTTCGAGCAACGCCAAGTAGATGTTTTCCGCCAACTCCAAATCGTAATCTGGGATGCGTTCTGGAGCCCCTTCCTGAAGACGTGGTCCCGCAGCCTGCAAAGGTGGGAGCATCCCATCATGGCATTGGGTAAGGTGAGCTTCTTGTAGTGATCCGCATCCTCCCGCTGGTCTGCAAAACCTACGTCGGCCCCAAAGTGTGGCACTACAGGTCGCGGATCGTTGGAGGTGCGCCTTCAGCTTGCCCATGGTGTGGTATTCCACCAGACAGGCACCACAGCAGGTGGAATCAAACAACAGCCTCACTTTTGCCACCACATTGTGCACCCTGAAAAGATGTGCTCCGAGACCTCCCTTGCTGCGAAAACAAAGTTTGCATTGCATGCACGCGTGCGGCCCATCTGCTTCATGTACTGGTTCATGGCGTGCAGGCTCCTTGAGACAAAATGTGTTCCCTTCTCCTTCAACCTGCTGAAACACATCCACAAAGCGCCGGTGAAAACTGAGGACTCTATGTCGATTGGCCCGTTGTTGGCGTGCATGTAGTCCTGCTCGCTTTACCAATCTCTTCCAATATGACGGGTGGTGCTCCCAAAGGTTCTGCCACACATGGTAAGCTTCCAATGGTGAAGGCAAGCTGGAGGCGTCCTTTAGCTGCTGCCATGTCCAGACCAAATCGTCGCGCACCAATGCGATCCAACGTTGGTCTCGATTCATGACATCGGTGGAGAGTGCCCAGGTAGCGCAGTCTGGCAAGCCGCAGCAATTCTGTTGGACTGTTCAGACCCGTCGCCACCAAGATGTCATCATCTTGCAAGTGTGCAGCTTGATCACGTCGAAGGAGTCGGCGAAATAGGCGCATCAGGGTGTTGTGCACATAGTTCTTGCTGCGGTAGTCCTCCAGCGTCCACGACTCCGTGCCATATTGGAATCTGCTCAGCACCAAGGTGTTGAAAAGTTCAACCCTTCTCTGAATCGTGAGCGCCGGATTTTGCAGAAGGTGTCGTCTATGTTGGTTGAAGGTCTGTTGCGCCACTCCTATGCGTCTCCTGGCTTCTTTTCTGCAATCTGCTCGATGGTGGATGACACATCCCAGGTGAGTGTACTGCTGTACTACTCGCACTCGTTTGATGCCCATCTCACCGACAACAGTCAAGTGCCCGTCGGAGAGCGGTCCAAAGAATCTGATCTTGCGCTGCCGGGACCCTTTGCCCTGAAAAACCAGAAGCACCTCTGACTTGCCTGGTTGAAGGTTGGGTGAAAGTCCATGAGATTCACATAGAGCCAGCAGAGCACCTGTGGCCTGCGTGATCTTGCGCTCCATTCTCTCAGGACATAGATCAGACACGCACACACACGTGTCGTCCATCCACGTTGGCCCTAAAAATTGTTGGCCTTCACCAATGACTTCGGTGTCCTGAGCTGCGACACATAGCGCACGTTCCTTCACAATGAACTCTGCCAGTCCCATCTCCTGCAAGGTGTCCTGAAGGCTGTGGAGGATACGCCCCCATAAATAGGCGAATATCACGTCCGCAAAACAATCGCCTGGGCGAGAGCCCAGGCGTGTCCTGCATGTGTCCACTTGTCCTCGGACATGAAAATGAGTATCTTCATGTAGCGCTCTCACAGCGTTCTGGAGGTGTTGAGGAAGTTGCGCTCTTGCCAGGGCCGAGGGTGCATCCAGGTGTTGGTGGAGCTCCGCAAGTAGATCTGTCGACAATCCCAAGCGCGCGCCCACATGCATGATGAGTTCATCTGCAACTTCACCGCCGACCACCAGAGGGCGTAAGATGCGATAAAACGCTTCCGTCAGGTCAAGGTACAGCATCGCCACATTGTGACCTTCCAAGCGCCTGGATCGCAAGAAGGATCGACCAATATGCACACCCAATATATATACAGTATATCTATCTATATATATATATTATAGGTTATTGAAGTTGAAAAAATATACTGTTGTATCCTGGTTAGTGGCTAGGTATTGCTATTGTGCCAAAAAAAATATTCTGAACCCATGCATTGTTTGGAAGGCTCACTATTGTGCCTTGGGGGGGCAACTTGTTTTGTCCAAAAAAATGTTTGTGCAAAAAAAACACTGAGCATTTTTTCTGAAACAATCTTGCTTTTCTCCCTGTCCCAAAAGAATCAGACCGCTTATGAAACCCTTGTTAAAGAACAGTTGTTCCACAAAATTTCCAAGGCACTGGGCCATGAGAGGGTCCAATTCACTTTAGTAGGTTTGTTCTCAGGGTTCACAATTGCAGCAAACTTTTCCAGAGCTGACCCTGGAGCCAAGAGAAGAAAGAAAAGCCCTTTACAAAAGCAACCTGTTCTTTCTCTTTCTCTTATCCTTTCTCTTTCTCTTATCCTTTCTCTTTCTCTTCCTCTTCCCCTTCCTCTTTCTCTTCCTCTTCCTCTTCCTCTCTCTCTCTCTCTATCTTTCTCTTTCTCTCGTTCCCTTTCTCTGTTCCTTCTCTTTCTCTTTCTCTTTCTCTTTCTCTTTCTCTTATCCTTTCTCTTTCTATTCCTCTTCCTCTTTCTCTTCCTCTTGCTCTCTCTCTCTCTCTCTTTCTCTTTCTCTCGTTCTCTTCCTCTTCTCTTTCTCTTTCTCTTCCTCTTTCTCTTATTGCATGGTTCAGTAAAAAAAACACTTAAGGTGGAAAAGGTAACGCAATCAACATGCTGAACCCCACTCACTACAAGTACTACAAGTACTACCAGTACGACAAGTACGACAAGTACTACAAGTACTACAAATAACAATAGGTTCGTCAAAACATTGAGTGGCGCGGATTGGCCAGTCATCCAATCCAAAAGGAACGCTCAGAGTGATGGTCTTAGCTACTTGTCATCCCCATGTGTTTCCATCATGTTTAAGTCACCTTCTCGTTTGATTCTGGAACTGGATGAAGGATGGAAGGGGTCAGTCAATCTGTGGTTTCCAGAGTTTTATTTGTTTGGGGGGTAATTTATGCTCATATTATCCTTATAAATTACCCCCCAAACATATATTATTTATTGTTTATGGTCATATTATCTTCAATATTATCTTTATGTTTCGTCCTGATTAGTGTAAGGCCCTTTTTCCCACGGGACTGTCTATCACACCCCCCCAAACAATACCTATACCCTCTTTAAAGTTGGGTGCCGAAAAGTTGTGTCACAGAAAAAAATGAAAAAATCCGCACTTAAGTAAGGATTTCAATTGGCTACAATTAAAATTTAATTCATTTTTTTTTGCCGATGAACTTGAAGTACTTGTAGTACTTGTAGTACTTGCATTTTACCGATGGTTGTTGAAGATCCCCATACCGGCCAGTAAAATCCCGAATGATTGTTGGAAATTTGGGTACGAGTATCGCGGCTGTCTGGGGGCCCCCAGCGGGGGCACTAGGTGACCCCACTGTGTCCTCTTCTTTGTTGGACATTGACTTGTAGTACGCTGCACGTGCCAAGGTCTCGGCAATCTTGTGTGGTGGCCTGGATTGATGACTGGAAACCCACCAAACAATCAGGGATTCCTACGATTCCTGGGGTGGAAAACGAGAAAATGCCGATTTATGGGTGAAAATGACGATTCATGGGGTGTGAGTTTTGGATTTATCATGCGCAACCTCAACATTGATTGTGTGAATATAAGGACTTGTGACTGTGCATTCATTGAAACTTGCAACTAGGAACCTTCTTTCGTTTGAAGTGTTCTCTTGTGTCAAGCTAAATTTGACAAAACAATTTTGGTTTAGGTTCGTCGACAAAAGAAACTCAAAGCAGGGGTACCCCTCATGCCATCCCATGGTTTCAAACTTACTTCGCTGTACACTGGTTTGTCAGTAAGGATTCCCAATCCATGGGTTAGCTTATGCCCACCAATCAACCAGCTAGTGTAACCTGCTATAACAATCAATCAATAATGGTCCTTGCCCAAATTGCTGAAATCGATTTTGTGTATCATTATTTTCCCGGTTCAAATGGTCACTTTCGGGCAATTTTTTGTACAACCCCAAATGATCGAAGGAAGTTTAGAAGTCAAACTTCCGACAATATGGACAGATGAAAAGTAGAGCAGGGCAGAGGCAGAGAGAAGAGAAAGATTAGAAGAGAGAAGATCAGAAGAGAAAGAGTCAGCAGAAAGAAGATGCAGATGCGCGAAAAGGTAGGAAAGTCGCGAAACACTATGTTTTTCCAATGATTTGAGGCTCCGGAGGGTCGAAAAGTAGGCTCGCTAAAGCGGCGGGTGCGGAGCCAGCTGGCCAGATGAGAGATGAAACAGTTGGGTTGTAATGAATCAAGGTTCAGTAGCCGCTGCATATCTTTTCCACAGCTTTGGTAAGAATCCTACCTCACAGAGGTAATGGCTCGTAGTATTAAAGTGCATACACAGTGGTACAAAGTAACACTGTGTCACGGTTGTGATCCAAACCATATAGGTGGGATACACATACCAGATTTGATAGGTCGAAGACACTAAGACAAACACCCATACCAACAGAAGAAAGGAAGGTGGTGTTGCATTTCCCAAATGTAAACCCTTCCCCCTATCACCCCGCAGGAGGGATCAAGGGAGGGAGGGTGGGAAAACAAAAAGGAAGGACCAATCTTGAGCCAAAAGTGGCACAAGATTGGTCAGTTACAAACCACACATGTTTCATATTGCAAGGGAGTCCCTTCCCAACCAACCATTCACCCTTGCAAGTTAAGAAACAGTTGGGTTGTAATGAATCAAGGTTCAGTAGCCGCTGCATATCTTTTCCACAGCTTTGGTAAGAATCCTACCTCACAGAGGTAATGGCTCGTAGTATTAAAGTGCATACACAGTGGTACAAAGTAACACTGGGTCACGGTTGTGATCCAAACCATATAGGTGGGATACACATACCAGATTTGATAGGTCGAAAACACTAAGACAAACACCCATAGTATTTCATAACCCACTGCACTTTAAAATAACGAGGCTAACAAAGAGGAAAAGAATGCACCTGGCAAAAGATCACAGGGAAAGGGGTATTCATTAATATCCCATCCCTGTTGCAAGGTCCAGACATCATGGATTCCATCCCGGCTCAGGCCATCAGAAGGATTGCTAGCGCTGTCAATCCATTCATACCAGATTCTGGTACCTTGTCGAAAAAGCCAAGCGTGAGCCTGAAGACAAATGAGATGCACATCAGGTTGGAGGCTGCTTGCCCTGATCAAGCTGGCCACGGCCGCTTCATTATCGATGAACCACAAGACATCCGCTGTAAGGAATAAATGTGGATGAAGGCGCGGGACAACCAAAGCGGATAGAGCTTCCCCTGGATAAATTTGTTGTTTCCGGGTCTTCCAGGAATCTAACGTGGACTGGGGGACAATGCAGGTACCGCCAGTAGGTGGGTGGTCAGGATGGAAAATGATCCACCCAAGGCGTAATACACCTTGTTCAAAGCTGGCATCAGAATACACACGGACCACTGGTTGAGGAGGACCTGCCACCACAATGTCACGTGGGGGAGCATGTTTGACAATGTCAATCAACAATTGTAGTGTAACGACCTGCATGCTGTCCAAATGTGGGGACTCTGACGATTGCTTTGCAGTGAAAACAGGACCTGCAAGACGGCCGATATGGCCTGCACACATGGACCACATCCAATTAAGGTCTCCACGTAGCTTTCCGGCTGTGTCACGATCCAATGATTGGGTGTCCACGGCATGTTGGAGCCGAGCTAGGACTTTCCATTGAGTGGATGTCTTGGGTTGGAAGCGCACCACTCCAAGAGTGAGGGCGTCACCAACGTGGACAGATGTGCCCAGGTAGTGTCGGTTGTACGAGGGCATAAAACATTTGGCCGGTTGTGGAGGTGCACCCATGTACTCAAACACCATCTTGAGGCCTCGTTGGGAGATGCAGGCATCACGGATGAACTCGACGGACAATTCGTCGTCGAAGTAGGCGGCACAACAACTAAGTAAGCAGCGACGCGCAATGGCTACTCCAAGTTGTGGGAACCGATTAAAGGCTACCACCGCTGCTTCCAATCCGTATGCCAGGCCATAAAGCGTGGTGAATCTCCAACCAACCTGTGGGACGAAGATGGCAATGTTGGAATAGCACAGATGGGAATCCCGCACAGGTAGCCCCCTGTAGGCGTCAGGCAAGTCGTCAGTGCCCAGGCGCATAGCACACCAGGGATATTGATCGGAGATGTGCTCAACTGGTGCCTGCATGCGGTCACAAAGCATGCGTGCCACTGTCGCCACGAAGTCAACGGTCACTGTGGAGATCGTTTCATGCATTTGTGTGTGAACATTGTGGCCGCTTTTACGTCCATTGTCGATAACCCGCTTTTTCTCATCAGGTTGAACCACCAGGAACCGTTCAAGGAATCTCCATCCTCCAGGTCCGTATTCACGATCCATCTGCAATTTGGAGCGCAAGGGGCCACAGAAACCTTTCTGCATCTCCGCTTCGGTGATATCCAAGATATCCCGGGCGAGACGAGGTGGTCGTGACAGTAGGAGGCGTTCCAAATCGGCTTGGGCTGGGTCACCCATCCAAGTTTCTGGGTCAGATTTATCGGCCTGGTGGATCTCTCTGAAGACACCGCACGGGTGTACTGGTCCGACAATAGGGTACCCCTGTAGAAGGTGTAGTGGTTGTTGGGTATCCGGCCAGCGCAGCAGGGCTGTCAGGCAGGCCACAAAGGCCGGGTTCTTCTGGACCGCCACCTTTGAAGCAGCCAAGCAACGGTGAGGGCGTAGAGCTTGATCCAGTGGTTGAAGAGCACGGTGAATGGATCTGAGGATATTGCGTTGACATTGTGCAAGCAATGGAAGGCACTCCCGCCAAATCCAAATGGTTTCAATGACGAACTCAACATCAGGTTCAGGCCAAGGTTGTGGGGCGAAAGGTGATGGCAATGTCTGGGCTGCGGCCATATGTGCCTCAGGTCCAAGACCTGGAGGCAACAAGTGGTCAAGGCCTTTGGAGGTATCCGGGGCATACCGTTGGCCAGACAGGCCGGCAAACACCCGTGACCTTGCCCTCCCAAAGACAGGGGTAGGCCCAAGTTGACACCAGTCCTCTCCCCGAAGGCGCCGCCATGATGCGAAAGCTTGGAGCTGATGGAGTTGGCATGCATCCAGACGCTGCGCAATAAGAACCCAGACATCATTATTGACCACGATGGGGTCAAACATGCCTTGCATGCGGGCTACCACAGCAGGGCCATCAAGGATATCCGGGAAGGATTGTAGTCGCCCGGGTTCCCAAATTGTTCCCACCAAGCGCTCATGAAGTCCATGGTCTGGCAGCGTTGGCTGGGGAATCATCTTGGCCTCCAACAGCGCTGGGAGAAGGCACAGGATGGCCAGTAAAGATGGGATGTGAAAGCCGTTGCCCAGCAAAGAGTTCCTGCCCTGGCGCTTCTCATCTGGCGTACCAGTGACGGCTTCAACCGCTGCTGGGGGAACCCCTAGGAGTTGGGCCCGTTCCGTTGGTGAGGGCTGTCTCCATTGTTCCTTCTGCCACAGCAGGGAGTGTTCCTCGTAGGCTCCAGGAGGAAACCGGCGTAGGTCTTCGTCAAACCGGGGCGCTGCAGCTGGGGAAACCTGCTTGACTCGGTCGTTGGGGTGGTAGAACTCTCGGGTGAAAGTGTGCATGGCTCCTTTCCCATTGTTCTTCATCACCTGAGTCGGGTCAATCATAGGTGCGAAACCATCATCACATTGCAAGCGTGCGGGAATCGCTTTGGCCCCTGAATAAACCAGCTCGGGAATGCCATGAGAGGTAGGGGAAGGTGCCCATTGCCATGCATCTGGTGGCGGGATGTTGGGTTCGAGGCCCCGGCGGCGAGAGCACAGCCAAAAGAGGCGCAGTCGTTGTGTCCAGCCACATGACGCCGCATTCACAGAAACCGGATTGGATTTCATCCATCTACAATACTGCTTCAACACCGGAAGGGGCATGCTGTGGACGTTTTCCAGAAACGCAATAATTTCCAGACCCTGACAAAGAGGTTCTTGGGAAAGATCTTCCACCAATCGGGCAAGCAATTGGGGTTGAAGGGATCTAAGATCACCTAAACCCCGTCTGCCAGCGTTGAGACTACTATTGGCTTGACATGGAGAGCCACCCCCTACCAAAATGCCCCTAACTTTACGGCGCCGCAAAAACTCCCTCAGGTCGCGCACCTGCACCTTCTCGACGGCGTCCACATGAACGATCTGGGGCATGACCTGTGCCGCACAAGCTCGAGCTGTCGGGTTGCATTCTGCAGCTAGGGCATAGCAATGAACTCCAAGACACAACATCGCAATGACTAGGCCTGAGTAACCTGCCCAGAGGTCTATCACAAGCCATGACCCTTTTAAGGGGGTTCCAGTCCAGCTATACTGTGCCAGATCGCCCTTACCCCTCCAGGTCACCGGTTTTGCTGCAGCAAGGCGGGCACTCAGGGAAACTGGTGGAGGGTCGGCGCCTGGAGCTAAAATTGTATGCCGGAATGCAGGCCCGACATTGTCATCATCGACATGGATCTGGCGTGGAGCCACAGAGGTCGCAGGCGCGGTCCCGTTCAAAGACACCGTCCTGCATGATGGCGGGCCACCTTCAGCATCTGGAGGACCCACACTACCCAGAGTGGGAGTCCTTGCAGTGGGTGGTGGCCCCCCCGCAGACGCGAAAGCCTGCAGGGGGCGCTGTCCCTATTCCGGGTGCGCTTGCCTGTTGTGAGATGTGGCTTGGCAAGCCTGGCCGCTAGGCATGCGCACGTCGCAGGCGTGAAGGTTGCCACAATCTCCCTTACAGCCACGCTGGTCGTTCCAGGCCTTACATAGCTTCTTTCCGCCTTTCAACATGCTCACTGTCTGCCTCGTGTCCGGCTTAATCTGACGGGGCCGTTTGGCTGGTGGCCCCCCTGCCGGCTCCGGCGGCGGTTGCTGGCCACGTGCCTTGGGTACGCTCCCAGAGCTTTGCAAGGCCGGGCTACGCCACTCCAGATGGGTTTGGTGAAGGGCCTCTTTAAGGGCCGACCCACCTGTGTAGTTCCGGCGGATTAATGAAGCCATTCTGGATCGGGTCAGCATGTCGTTTTTCATCAACCACTGAAGGGATCCTTGTCCCACTTCAATGTTCATGCGTAGGCAGAAATCTGCGTACCCTTGAGCTTGATCAAGGCTGATGAAGAGCTTCTTGGTGTCGTCAAAGTCTGTAGCTTCAAAATTGCCAGCCCAGGCCCAAGCGTTGCAAAGTGTACGCAGGGCAAAGTAGTATTCGATGGCGGTGGTGATCACCACAGATTCATCCTCCTGTAGCTGCAGCTGCAAAGAGTCTGACAGCTTGATGTTCTCTGTCGTCTTGGGGACCGCGATGTGCATCATTGACTTGATGCGTCTGGTTTCCAACACTGTCATAGTCTGGCGGCGGAACTCTTTGTAGACACGGCTGCGTAAGCTATCACTTGGGTCCAGATGGGGGTCCAAGACCACACCATACCGACGGGAGAAGTCCTTCGTGATAGCCTGAAGGGTAGATTCAGGCAGCACTGTGTCCACTGAGTCCTCTACTTTCTGAGTCGCCTGACTGGCCTTGATGGCCGAGACACCGCTTTCGTAGGCAGCTTTGAACCTGGCCAAAATGAGTCTGTTGTCCTTCAAGTCACTCGAGGCGTTGAGCAGGTCCTTGAGGTTTTGCTCCCAGTCCTTAGAATCCATGAGGTAGACAAAATCGTCCAAAGTCTCCAACTTGTGCAGCTTGCAAAAAGTAGCCGCCCATGTAGATTGGACGTTGGCAGCGTCGAAGCATGTCTGAAGACCTCGATCGTTCTGCCTGACGTCAATGCGGGACACAGCACTCATGGCTGCAGTCACCTAGGGCGCCTACGGCGGCTGGGGCGGTGACAACAGGCAAGACTGAGCCAGTGTGCACTGTTGTAAACCACTCACAGCAACATGGGTCTGAAAAGGTGGCGACATGAAAACATGAGGCAAAGACCTATAACAGTAAACCCAAACCCCAGGTATCTATTTACACAAAGAAGAAGCCACTCACTTTATAGCACCTAGGGCGGTGTCAGATCAGCCAGCCACATTGGGCAGCCACAGTGCCGTAGATGGCCCTCGGCATCCGTGCAAGGCAACGCTGGCAGAAAATCTGCCTGGCTGTAGTTCCAAAACCTTGGCCGGCTCGCTTTGGATCTTGTTGGAAGGCGAAGTTGCGGCACCATGGCACCGGTCTGGAGTCGGTGTCCAAAGATTTGACCACGTGGGTCTTGCTTCCCTGCTGGATCCAACTGGTCTGGTCCATAGCGGCGTCCACAACCACCACTCCTTCCATGTCGGAGCCTGCAGCACTCATGTCACTGGCCGATGTGGACGTCGTGGAACTGGAGGCGTCTGAGTGGATGGGTTCCGGCCTCTCCTCCACAGCCTGCTGGGCCGGGTTGTCCTGGTCTGCAGGGAGCTCCATGGCTGCCAGCTCATCAGGGTTGTCGACCTGGATTGCTCCTTCTGGGACAGGTAGAGGGGCGATTTCCAGCGGCCCCAAGCGGTCATTAGCCACTGCCAGCTCCGGCCAGGTCCAAGACCCCCGGGGAAGCAGATGCTGGTCCGTCATAGCAATCTCCCCTTGTTTCATGTGGAAGAGCTTCCAGAACCTTTGCAGTATGGCCCTCTTGACCGCTGCAGACCTTTCAGTTTGCCCGCCAGCATAGTGCCTACCCATGATCCAAGTGGCTCGGGACTTGGTGGTAGGTGAGGGTCCACCTGCAGCCGGTATCTCTATCCAAGAGCCCACTGCTTGGAGTTCTGGGGCATCCAATCGCAGCACATTTGCCAGAGTTGGCATGAACCTCCTGAGCTTGTTGAAGGTCGCCGTGGTGGCTTCTTCCATAGGTACCCCTATTTGGTGCAGGGCTCCTCGCAAGATTTCCAGGAAT